AATGAATAAGTCTAACAAGAGAACAAAACACAGTTAACAATGAATAAGTCTAACAAAAGATAACAAAACATGAAAACAATTAATAAGTCTAACAAAAGATAACAAAACATGGTTAACAATTAATAAGTCTAACAAAAGATAACAAAACACAGTTAACAATTAATAAGTCTAACAAAAGATAACAAAACACAGCTAGCAATGAATAGGTCTAACAAAAGATAACAAAACATGGGTAACAATGAATAAGTCTCACAAAAAATAGCAAAGTATAGCTAACAATTAAAAAAAAAGGTAAGCTCGGGAGATGTAAACCAGCGTCACTGCACACGGTTATAAACCATAAGTGCTCTGCCACTAGTACAGACAGCTGATAAGAAACTGTCCGCCTGTGTTGCCGTCTGCATGCAACTCCATAGCCATAGCGACATTCCTCCATTTACTCCAGAGTGTTAACTTTGGTACCCATTACCTAGAGGCTGGGTGAACACCAGGAACCGCGGGTGGCAGCTAGATTTCAAAGTGAGTCTCTTATTGACTGCGCTAATGCGACCCCCCTAAAAGGTAAACTCGGGAGATGTTAACCAGCGTCACTGCACACGGTTATAAACCATAAGTGCTCTGACATAAAACACAGCTAACAATGAATAAGTCTAACATAAGATAGCAAAACACAGTTAACAATGAATAAGTCTAACATAAGATAGCAAAACACAGTTAACAATGAATAAGTCTAACAAAAGATAGCAAAACACAGTCAACAATGATTAAGTCTAATAGAAGATACTAAAACACAGTCAACAATGAATAAGTCTAACAAAAGATAACAAAATAAGTTTATAATGAACAATTCTAAAAAGAAAACAAAACACAGTTAACAATGAATAAGTCTAACAAAAGATAACAAAATAAGTTAACAATGAACAATTCTAAAAAGATAACAAAACACAGCTAACAGTGAATAAGTCGAAGAAGAGATAACAAAACACAGTTAACAATGAATAAGTCTTTTAAAAAATAACAAAACAAAGCTAACAGTGAGCAAGACTAGGAAAATAACAGCAAGTCCCAGCAGTTTTAAAAGTTTTATTGAATGCTAGTATGAACAGAAGTTAAAAGTTAAAATTGACAGAAGTCAAAAACTTAAAGCCAAGAAGGTCAACTCCATTGCACTGGGTTTTATCCCACCTTTCTCCGCAGAATGGCTAGCCACTCACGAGTGCTGCACAAGGTATGACTTCCGTAGCTCCAGGGACGATCCCCAATGATCTCTGTTAAAATCGCACATATGAACATAATGATGCAGCTGTGAAACAAACCCATGACCTTCATAGCTCAAGGCAAACTGCTCGACCACTTTGCCATAGAGACCCCCCCCCCCCCCCCCCCCCCTCAACCTGGGGCAAACAGAAAGTATATAAGTAAACAAAAACAAAGTATATGAACAGAAGTAAAACACCTCAAATCTATATTTATCAGTGCTGTTAACATTCTGCATATTTCATATAGTAAAGAATCTCCAATAATCGACTTAGATCAGTGTTAAACTGGCATTTTCCCCCCAGTAAAATAAAAGTGCCAGCATTCACAAGAGAGTGTCTACTACATTAGCACTGAAAAATGACACACTGCATCCATCTGCTTAAAGCCAGATGAAAAAGCTAAAGGAGAATCCCCCCCCCCCCCCCCCCCCCCCTTAAGTTGACTGTTAAAACTGATCAATTTAAGAAGTGAGTAACTATTTTATTGAATTTTAGTGCTTTAAATACTTCGGCTTGATCACTTTAAGAAGTAAATATCTTGCTGTATCCCACTATATCTTCTTCTTCTTTGTTTAACGGCTGTAAGTCCTCATTTATCGTCCATCTGGACTTTGCCAGGGTCTGAGTTTTCATGTACATCTGTTTTACTGGCTTTTTTTTAGCAGTTGGTTGTTCCTTGCCGCTCGGGCCGATGCACTCAATCTCCATAGAATGGCCTGCTGCCTGCAGAAAACATCACACAAAGCACAACTTTACAGTTCCGGTAAAAATCCTCAGCTGTAAACTCTGGCAGAAAACTGGTTGTTCATCCACTTCTGAACTTTGGCCTTGTTGCAGAACTTGTTCTGTATGCACATCCATTGTACAGATTTAGCTTATGTGTATGCAGACTGTTGTTTCCTGGTTTCTCCGACTTTGAAGGAAACCTTTTACAACATGCTTGTTGATGTATTGAGGGGAGGGGGGGGAGGCGGGGCATGAGGGTCTATTCTTTTCTCCACCAAAATTAGGACCAGAACCTTAACAAGGGAGTCTTTCTCAATCTCATTCCGTAAGTCTATCATGTTTCAAGCTTTCAATTTTGAAACTTTTAATTCAGACATGCAGTAAATGATTGTGTCTAGCGTGATCAAATTATCTGTGTTAACATTTCCTTTGATCAACTAAAGAAACAAAAACAAGCTTAAGTAATCAGGTCACTAATTCTCAAACTGTCATTTGTCTTCTTTCCCTTCTCTAGTCTTGTTCTGTCTTTCAGTGTCAGGCATCAGGTGCGAGCCTTGGTAAGTTTTACGTAGATGCTGGTATTTACGGCCTTGGATATTATGTCTGTCCATCACCTGTGGGGTAAACCTCTAGTTCTGCATCCACTGTCTGAGTGACAGGGCTCTCAGTGGTGAACTACCTGGTGGTAGTTTCGATAGATGTACAAACCATTTGATCTGTTGTCTCCTGATGTAGTATAGAACTGGTTCCATCCCAATTCATTTTCTGATATCATCATTTCTGATCCTATCTCTTCTAGCTGCATTTAGGATCTGTGGTAGGCATCTGATTTCTGTTGTTCTGACTTTTCTTTTTCTGTTGATTTAAATGTCCAAGTTGGCAATGGTAAGATAATGCTGGTAAAAGTACTGTACTGAACATTGCTCTTTTGGTGTCAAGGGTTACACGTTGGGAGTCGCTGTGGTGAAGCAGCTAGACACTCAGGTGCGGATCGGAAGGTCCTGGGTTTGCTCCCTGGCAGAGCCAGACTGTTTTTTTTTCTTAAATGACATTGACTCCCAGGTCGACCCAGCATTGAGTGGGTTCCGGGTGCAAACCCGGGAAGTAAAGTCGGCCGACGTGATGCTGATCACATCACCCATCTTGTGCCGACTCGTCTATAAAAATATAGGTCTAGCCCTATATGCCTAAGAGCGTGGAGAAGGGACCTTTAGTTATTTTTTTTATTGTTACACTTTTGTTCTGCACTGCTGGTGACATCTGTCCAATGATTTCTTTTTCATCTTCTCTTTCTGTGTCCACCGCCTGTAAACTTCGGGCAGATCTGATGTTTGTCCACTTCTGCACTTTAATCTTGTTCTAGAAAATGAAAGTTGCATGCATATCCCTTTTACAGATGTGTGACACCTGTGTGCAGACTGATGGTTCCTTGCCTCTCAGACAGATGAATTCTAACTGTGAAGGAAGCTCCCAATTGCTTTATTACACATGTTATCTATCTGCTTCCGATTTCCCCACTTCAACCATAATATAAGCGACTAAATGTTCTATGATAAAATTAAAACAGGTCAAAACTTACTTTTAAAAATTAAAGAAAAACATGTAATCCCAAATAATCAAAATATTGGTCTTTTCTTCTTCTTTCTGTCATTCTCCCAGCCAGTGGTTTTTTAGAAGAGAAGGCTACAGCCCATATGAAGGTTGCGGTGTAAAACATTTGCTTCACTGATCCACACAGCTTGGTTTCCACAGGAATCCTGAAAATTATTGTTTTTATTAAACCACTTTTGGGGTGTAGTCAGGGGGTCTTTGAGCCCGAGGATTTACGGCCGTATGGATAGTGCTGTCGCCACGACTGTGCAGGCCAGGATTTTATTTTGCCCAGACAGAAACAAATCGCCAGTCTTACTGAGGATTCGAACCCGGGTCTCCCGCTCAAGAGCCCAGCGTTCTAATCGTTCGGCCAGCCGCTACTCATCAACAGGGATACTAACCAGTCAAACCTGTAATTTCCCCGCTGCGTGTAAACAGCATATCTACATCCAGTATTCTGTGATGCATGTCCCTATCGAGAAAGTTTCGAGTCCCCAATCTTTTTTTTATCTTTTTTTATTGACATATGGCTGCTGGGTTTAGTTTACAGGCTAGAAATTCCAGGTGTCAAATTTCTTTTTGTCAACTAAACAAACGAATACAAGCGTAGATATACAATCATGTCACTAGTTTTCAAACTTTCCCCTCCTCCACACAATAAATGACTAAATCTCACACCATCATATTACCAGTTCCAAAACTACAGTGGTACCTTGGTATACATCCTTAAGCCACTCCAGATCCTTGGATTTATACCAAACAGGAAAGATACCAAACACATTTTTCCATATGAAATAAAAGGAGAATAATCAATACGTAAAAAAATTCTACTCTTACTGGCATAATATACGTTGATTTGGTTGTAGAAAATAATTTCAATAATACTTAATACTAAAATATATAAATACAAAAGCAATTAGCTGTAATAAATGAAAATTTAACATTGCTGTGAGAAGTCGAGTACCTACCATGATGGTGTTGAGGGGTATGGGGGAGGAAGATGCTACTGTTTGGAAGCACATAAGTCGTATTCCAAACGTAGGTTGCATACCAATCAAATTTATTCACGTCTATACTGAACATATGCCAAGTTGGATTTGTTAAAAAGTGAACATATACCGAGGTACCACTGTATTTTTTTTTTTTTTTTTGAGTCAAAGAAGCTAAATATAACCAGTGACAATCCAGACATTAGTGATAAAATACCCAACACAGGAAGTTAATACATCGCTCGAACATCAGTTAAAAGATAACATTAATGTCAAAACATGATATGATGTATAATATCACCAGTGACTGAAACAATTACATATGCGGAACAAATACTTGAGCTCACAAATTACACACAGACACATTAGATAATAACCCCCCTTTTAGAAATCTGGACATAAAATCCACCCAATCCCCCGCCATAGGTCAACATCAAGACTCTTTTTTCCGGACATCCGACCTACAGATTGGACAGGTGGCATTGGTCTGCAAGGAAAGAGAAAAAAGATGTAAATACAGTGTAAAGTAAAGTAAATAAAGGAACCTTTTAGGCGCATTGAGTATATAGGGCTAGATCCCTATTTTATAGATCAATAGGCACTTGGAGGGTGATATGGTATGCATCATACCGACCACCTTTACTTCCCAGGACTGCACCTGGTACCCACTCAAGGCTGGGTCGACCTGGGAGTATATTTCATTTTTGAAAAAAGACCAGCTCCATCAGGACACGAAGCGAACCCACGACCTTCTGATCCACAGGCAGGCATCTAGCCGCCCACACCATGGTCACTCCCTATTTACACAGTATAAAGTAGAAAAGTACTGGTAATCATAAAAATGAATGGACCCTCCAGCAGCATCCAATTTAACGGAACAATCCTCAGGCTAGCTGATACATTTAGATACTTGGGTGCTGTGATAACAGCAAATGGAACACGTATTAATGAAGTGAAATGTAGAATAGCTCGAGAAAAGGCAGCACTTCAAATGAAAACATTATATGCCAGGTCTATTCAAATAAATTTACTCAAGGGCCAGAATATTCCAAATGGGGAATGTCACGGACCAGAGGCGCTCAGCCAGCATTGACAGATCATGAATACAGTACATCTGGCCACTTGCTAGGCCTCTGTGGGCGAAATCTGGCCCGCATGCCACCAGCTGAATTGCACTGTTCTTTGCACTCTTTGGGAGTCGCCGTGGCCGAGCGGCTAGACGCTCGTCGCGGATCAGAAGGTCGTGGGTTCGCTCCCTGGCAGAGCAGGACTTTTTTCAAAAAATGACCTTGGCTCCCAGGTCGACCCAGCCTTGAGTGGGTACCGGGTGCAGCCCCGGGAAAGTAAAGGCGGCCGGCGTGATGCTGACCACATCACCCATCTTGTGCCAATTGGTCTATAAAAATATAGGTCTAGCCCTATATGCCCTATACACCTAAAGGCCTGGAAAAGGGACCTTTCCTTTTTTTTTATGCACTCTTTATTTGTCAATTGAAATGAGAAAGAGAATTCTCAAATGCTGTATAATTTGATTGATTGGCACCCTTCCCTCTTTCCAGACGACAGTGTTATGAGGAGGCATGGGACTCACAGCCCATGGTGATGGTGAGTGTGACTAGCAAAGACCCGCATGCGTTAAGAAAAGTCTCCCACAATTATAGCATGGGATTTCAGGACCACTGTTGTCTACATTTGTGTTTAATGTGTTTCTTCTCAGATGCTCAGCTCTCATCTTTTCTGCAACCACGGACCATTGTATTTTGTTCCCAAGAGTTCACTTCAATACCTGTATCATTCTTGTCCTGCTTGCACACACCTTTATATCGTAGCAGATGTTGGCCTTGAAATTTTCTATCCATCATTAATTCACTATAGAGGATGTCCATAGGGACTCTGCCATCCTCCATTCTCCAGGTGAGACCCAGCCACCTGAGACTTCGTAGACTGAGTATTGAGAAAACTATTTTAATAGATCTATTATTATTTTATATTAGCTATTATTAAATTATCTATTATTATTCATATTACCTTATTATTAAATAAATCTATTATTTTATATTTATTATTTTAGATGTAATACTCTGCGTACTTAACAGCTGAACAGATTGCTCCTTTTTGAAGAGTTGTGTATCTTTTAAGAAGACATTGCAAACCAACCCCAAGCATTCTTGGCTGATGGTTATTTAATTAAGCAGATTTCACATTCAGTAGTTTGCCATTGTTTCCTGAATGATCGGCTCTCGATACCAAAGTTGAAATCAACGGAGGAAAGTTATCTGTTGCTAAACCACCGGCAGCTAAAATTAAACTGGGTCAGAATTACCAACAACAAAATTCTCAGCCCCTAAGCCAGGGGCAATGACTCTGAAATCGTATTCAAAATACAAAATTTTTCTTAAACAACAATAAAATTCTTACATCCTCCGATGAAAATAAAATTATGACAACAGAGATTAAATGCCTTAGAAGAACTGCAGGATTTTCAAGGAAAGATAGAATACGAAATCACAAAATCAGACGACTGCTAGGAATAAAGCCAGTCTTACAGGTCATCAAAGAACGACAAATGAAGTGATTTTGACACCCAACAAGAACGCCCTGGTACTATCTGCCACAGTGTTACAACGCTACAACTGGTATACAGCCTCGGAAAAGATGGAGTGATGGCATTAAGAACAGCCTTACAGAAATGAAAATCAGTCTTAATAGTGCTCTTGACAGAGCTCATCAACAAATGTTACATCTCATCTCCCCCGACACTTCGATGAGGTACAAGGTGGAAGAGAAGAAAAAGAAGAAGAACAACAACAAACGAAAAAATCCAAAGTGTTCTCATTTACCTGTAGCCATTGATCTACGCAATGTTTATGAAATTCATGCTTGCAGGGCAACACTCGCTTCTCATCTCCGTTTTCATAATCGTTGAGACAAATGTTGCATTGCGGTGGTTCCAGGCCAGAGCTGGCGGAGGCACTGGCTCCCTGCCGACTTGGGCTAGTTTTGTGCCTGCATATAGCCAGTTTGTTGATCTCTGAGTCCTCCATTCCTTTACTGACCTCACCAAGCTGTTCTCCCAAAGCCAGCAAGGACTGCAACATAAGAAACCATGCTGTAGACGCTCCCCTCAAGCAACAAGAATACAGTTATTACATATAAAAGGTTATGACATATAAGTAGTTATGACACATAAATAGTTATGACACGTAAGTAGTTATGACACATAAGTAGTTATGACACATAAGTAGTTATGACACATAAGTAGTTATGACATATAAACAGTTTAGACTAAGTAGTCAAACCTGTTTATAAGCCATATGGGTCAAAACTGGTGTAGCCCTCTTCTTCTGTGCATTCATATCAATGCCATATAAGAGACTAAAGGCGATGAGGCTTTCCGTTTCATGGAAAGTGATTTTTCACTGAATAGACTGCATACTCTGCACGTACCAACTGGAGCAGCGAGACAATAAAACCATACGGGAGCCAGTCATCGTGACTTCAACCAGAACAGACTGGGAGTTGTTAGCCTATAAATACTTAGAGACATACTCAGGAGGAGATCCGAACACTTAGGGTCATGTCTGATGTGTGATACAGATGATCTTTAAATGAACAATCTTTGCATTTACAGGCTGGATCACAGCACTTAGGGTCATGTCTGATGTGTGATACAGATGATCTTTAAATGAACAATCTTTGCATTCACAGGCTGGATCACAGCACTTAGGGTCATGTCTGATGTGTGATACAGATGATCTTTAAATGAACACTCTTTGCATTCACAGGCTGGATCACAGCACTTAGGGTCATGTCTGATGTGTGATACAGATGATCTTTAAATGAACACTCTTTGCATTCACAGGCTGGATCACAGCACTTAGGGTCATGTCTGATGTGTGATACAGATGATCTTTAAATGAACAATCTTTGCATTTACAGGCTGGATCACAGCACTTAGGGTCATGTCTGATGTGTGATACAGATGATCTTTAAATGAACAATCTTTGCATTTACAGGCTGGATCACAGCACTTAGGGTCATGTCTGATGTGTGATACAGATGATCTTTAAATGAACACTCTTTGCATTTACAGGCTGGATCACAGCACTTAGGGTCATGTCTGATGTGTGATACAGATGATCTTTAAATGAACAATCTTTGCATTCACAGGCTGGATCACAGCACTTAGGGTCATGTCTTATGTGTGATACAGATGATCTTTAAATGAACAATCTTTGCATTTACAGGCTGCATCACAGCACTTAGGGTCATGTCTTATGTGTGATAAAGATGATCTTTAAATGAACAATCTTTGCATTCACAGGCTGGATCACAGCACTTAGGGTCATGTCTGATGTGCGATACAGATGATCTTTAAATGAACAATCTTCACCCAATGTACTATCCTCAAAAGCCTTCTGAATCATCCGAGTAGTTTTCACAGAGGAATGTTAAATATTAACACAAAATTAGATGCATATTTTTCTTGTTGCTACTTAAAATGTAGCTGGCCGAGGCAACATTTGTTGCTACTTAAGATGTAGCTGGTTGAGTCATTACTTCAAAGTCTACAACTTGATAGTTATTTTCTTTTTCCTTGCCTTCAGGCGTACCGGGCATATAGGGCTAGACCTACATTTTATAGACCAATCGGCACTCAGTGGGTGAGGGGATCAACGTCTTGTCAGCTGCCTTTACTTCCCAGGACTTTACCTTGTACCTATTTAAGGCTAGGTCGACCTGGCAAGCAAGGTCCTTTTTGAAAGAAAAGTCCGGCTTTGTCAGGAACTGAACTAATGACCTTTCCGATCCACAGGTTTATGTCTAGCCACTACACAAAAGCAGCTCCCAGGTTCTACATGACAGGTAATGAAATTTTGATGATCTTCAGTTATTTTTCATAATAGCCTGAGCATAAGAATGTCTGACTAAATGCATTATGAAGACAGCAACTGCTAACACTAGGAATGGAATTCAGTGGACCCCTACAAAACAACTTGATGATCTGGTCTCACTTATGATATTTCTCTTCTGTCCAACTTATGGAATCAGATGCAAGATAAACTAAATATACATGATGTGAGATCACAGCAGCTAGGTCTGAAAATTCATAAAGAAAGACAAAGATAATGAGAATAAATCAGGTAAATAGTAATATGGTTTCACTTAATGGCACCCCACCACATAGTGTCGCACACTTATTTGGGCAGTAATGTAGATAAAGATGGGGGAACTGATAGAGATATCAAAATATAAATACAAAAGACAAGAGGAGCTTTCATAGCACAAGGGAATTGGTTAAGGACAAAAGAAATTCAAAGAAATTTTTAACTTCTAATGTCAAATCAGTACTGTTGTATGGAGCAGAAACATGGAGAACTTAGGCAATTATTAATAAACTACAGACATTCATTAACTGGTGGCTGCGCAGAATAGAAGGAATTAAATGGTAGGATACAATGACTAATGTAGAGCTGTGGGAGAGAACTAAACAAGTAACAGTGGACCAAGAGGTGATGAAAAGATGCTGACATTGGATAGGACACACGATGAGAAAACCTGAGGGCAATATAACTAGAATATCTTTACACTAGAACCCACAGGGGCAAAGAAATAAAGAAAGACCAAAAAACATGAAGAAAGTAGCTAGACAGCAAAGTTAAAAAGATGGGGAGGACATAGGGAAAGCTGCGATACCAAAGGATAGAACGACTTAGCGTGAGTTGGTCGAGGGCCTATGCTCAATTGGGGGTTACAAAGGCAGAAGAAGGAAGAAGAAGAAATGCATTAACTGGCATATCTATTAGTAATAACCAATTTGCCCGGCTCTCTAGCGAAGTTGGTTAAACCTGACTTTCGCGGCGGCCGGGTGACGAACTCCTTGTGGTCCGGGTTCACTCCCGGGGGTAGGCAGAAAAGCCACATTTCCCCCAGATTAACGGTACCTATAATAGAATCAAGGCCGAAGGGTTGCGATATCCATAGTACCGAGCCAAAGGGTTTACAACTCATGGTTTCTGGATACATTAAAAAATAAAAATAACCAATTTATGTTGAGCCTCACCTCATAATCCATGAAGTCAGGATTAATAAATGGTCTCTGGCCAATAGCACCTGGATTCAGAATTGCCTGGAGTAAAAACACGACAAAATATATTTTAGTGGTAATTTAACAGTGACAAGTAGATAATTATTGTTAATTTCTCTGGGACAAAAGGTCACATTTTAGGAAAGCAAAAACAAATAATCTGTCATGGTTTTTGGAGAAACTAGGAATGAAAAATGACTGGCAGTCACTAACAGATGTCACTGTTTTTATAGATAACAACTGCCAAGATTTAAAAAAAAATTTATGTCAGCTTATTGTAAAGTACTTAGTTATTTTGTTGTTGCAAGCACTTACATCGGAAGAAGAAGAAGAAGAAAAAGAAGAATAAGAATAAGAAGAAGAAGAAGAATAAGAAGAAGAAGAAGAAGAAGAAGAAGAAGAAGAAGAAGAAGAAGAAGAAGAAGAAGAAGAAGAAGAAGAAGAAGAAGAACAAAAAAAGAAGAAGAAGAAGAAGAAGAAGAAGAAGAAGAAGAAGAAGAAGAAGAAGAAGAAGAAGAAGAAGAAGAAAAAAAGAAGTAGAAGAAGATGAAGAAGAAGAAGAAGAAGAAGAAGAAGAAGAAGAAGAAGAAGAAGAAGAAGAAGAAGAAGAAGAAGAAGAAGAAGAAGAAGAAGAAAAAGTTCCTTTAATTCTTCTCTCAACACTCTGGTGAATCAACAAGATAAGTAGAAGACAAGGGTCCCTTATTTGTAAAATGTTCACGTCACAGGCTGTGTTTTTCTATTCTGACAATTTCTCATAACCAGCAGATCCTCTGGTCCCTCAAGGTTATGGATGGATTAAAAATTAAATATAGGAAAAGTGGATGTACAGAAGAAAAAGTCACATTTCATGGAAATACAGAAACAGTCAAATACAGAAGCTATGGAAAGATTACGAATGAAAAGAGAGTTACCGAAAGAAGAAGAGACAACTGAAATACTCTGGTCACATTAAAAGACCTGACATGCTTTTAAAAACCATACTGGAGGGAAAAGTTGAGGGAAATAGAGCAAGAGGTAGACAACGTTACAAGTGGGTAGACAACATCAAGAGAGGATGAAAAGCAGTGTCTGAGAGAGTGTACAACCATGGCAAGAGAAAGAGATCCACTGCAGCCAACCTTCAGCGTGGAGAAGGTACCTGACTGATTGATGACAGGAAAAGAGTTGCTCGAGTGCATATACATGGCCGAGTGAGTGTATGTATGTTTCTCAGAAAGAAAAAAAAACATAAACAGGAAGGACAAAATAAAGGAAGTTAGATGAGACAGGTGTTTAAGAAACTGAGTTCTTTTTTTTTTAAGTAGGGGGTAGGGGGTGTGAAAAGGAAGTAAAAAGTAATAAAATAACAGAGACAAGGAAAGTGAAAAAGAAAAAGCAGAAAGGAAGAAAATCAAGAATAGAGAAGATAAGTTAGAAATGGAAGGAAAGAAAGTAGACGAAAGGACATTTTCACAGCATCATCAGCAATGTTGCAATGAAACCACAAAAATGTGAAAAGCTTCTACTCACTTCAATGTCGGCCAAATCAGAAAGTCCGTAACTGCCCAGCAAATCTGTCAACACTGCAACATTAGAAACAGGAAATTCAGGTTTACAGTCAATGCCACTTAATTCGCAAAAGGCGATAACAGACTCTTACTTTTATTAACCACCTGGCCATGTTTACTTTCCAGAATGTTACCTGCTAACCAGTTAAGGTTGGGTCGACCTGGGAGCCAGGATCATTTTTGAAAGGGGGGGAAAAAAAGAAGGAAAAAGTTCTCCACCATTCTCATTAACTAGTGGCAAAGTGGCTTAGGAGGTGTGAGTCCAACTCGTAATTCCAACATACAGCGATCGAAACCCACTGCCGGCTGCATGGATTTTCATCATGGTATGGGGCGTTGCAGGTCGACCCAGCCTAAAATGGGTACTCATACTGTCAAACACAGACTGGTGATTCCTACTTTCCTAGGTCTAATCCTCTGTGAAGTATTCGTCAGTAGAGCAATGAAGGTTGCACTCTGAGCTCGAAACATTCTTTAAGCAGACGATAACAGGCACCTTCAGTAACTGGCTGTTAAAGAGAGAGAAAGAGCTGTCCTGAAACCTGTGATGTCCAATAGTTACCAGATAAGCCCAGCAAAATCAATAAATACTTACAGCCCATGTGGCTACATCTACCAGTTCTTTAACAGATTGTGGACAGACATAAACAACAACAAACAAGCTAGATTTCAGACCCAATGCGCAAAAAAGAGACCAAGCAAGACAATAAATCCAATTTTATAAGAAAGTAACGCTGGAACTACAGTGGCCAGGGACTCAGAATGGTTACGATTAGATTCTCCCTTCAAGCCCGCATAAGGACACTGGAAGAGAAAAGAGGGGGAAGAGCTAGAGAGACCATGTGCAGAACCATCATCAAGGAAGGCTCAACCATGGGCCTATCAAACACCCAAGACCTACAACAGGTGGCAACGAACTGCCAGACATAGACAGCTATGACCTCTGCCTTATTCGCCGCCATAGGCTCAAGAGGAAAGACTAACTAACTAACACAAGCTAGGCCAGTGTTCTTTAATCTTTTTTTTTTTCTGCAGACCAGCAAAACTGGGAAAACTGTTTTGCAGACTACTTGACAGCAAACCAGAAACAGAAACAAAAACAAATGTAGATAGACGTTTATTTGTCAAATCTGATACCACAAAATTACCATTTTCAGCCTATTTGACATCTGGTGATGCTTAGAGGTAGAAAAATCCGATATTCATGACTGCAGCATTGTTTCTTAAAGACTAAGTGCTGCAATAACACCCATTCAATTTCTGTGTTCAGTTTTATTTCCTGACATGGCCCAGTGTCATGCACAGATGAAGCTGACACGATAATGATATTCAGTGGCCACACCTATGCTTCCTGTGCTAAATTGTCACATACAACATCTCATTCACTAGGATGCAATGTGGTGCTGAAATCATGGCAGACCAACAGGACATGTCCATGGTTGAAGAACCATGACCTAGACAACATCCAGAAGTAGCAAACAAGAAAGTAAACCAAACAACAAGAAAGTAAACAAAACAACAAGAAAGTAAACCAAAACAACAAGAAAGTAAACCAAACAACAAGAAAGTAAACCAAACAACAAGAAAGTAAACCAAGCAACAGGAAAGTAAATAAAACAACAAGAAAGTAAACCAAAACAACAAGAAAGTAAACCAAACAACAAGAAAGTAAACCAAACAACAAGAAAGTAAACCAAGCAACAGGAAAGTAAACCAAACAACAAGAAAGTAAACCAAAAAACAAGAAAGTAAACTAAACAACAAGAAAGTAAACCAAACAACAAGAAATTAAACTTAACAACAGGAAAGTAAACCAAACAAGAAAGTAAACCAAACAACAAGAAAGTAAACCAAACAACAAGAAAGTAAACCAAACAACAAGAAAGTAAACCAAACAACAAGAAAGTAAACCAAACAACAAGAAAGTAAACCAAACACTTACAGGCCAGATTGCCGTAGCTCCCCTCCAGGTCCTCATTGGGTACGGCCCAATGTTCCATCCTGGACCTCATGGGAAGAGGTTCGTCCTGGCTCCGACGTCTGTAGCCTGGTCGGAAAACTGGGGGATTGCCGGCTGCTTGTGATCCGGAACCTCCCTGATGCTGGTCAGTGCCAAACATAAACACCACGGTCAGTGTGATACACAAAACTGTAGACTGACTGGTATTCAAAGATTCAGAAGACAGAAGTTGAGATAGGAGAGGACACACTCAGCTGAACAGCCAGCACACTCAATCAATCAGCACACTCAATCAATCAGTCAGCACACTCAGTCAATCAGTCAGCACACGCAATCAATCAGTCAGCGGGTCTTTTACAAAACATCACTCTCTTCATGGCACACCTGAAAGTCTCTTTTTCTCTAGCCAATTCTCCAACACTATGTGCTTTCCTAGCCGATGCATCTTCAATGTCTTGTATCCACCTTCACAGAGGTCTGCATCTGCCTCATCTTCCAGAAACTGCACCTTCCATCACTGTTCTCTCCAGACCATCATGGCTCTTGTCAAGTCCAACATATCCCAGCTTTCGAGAGAGGATGCTGTCAATGAGCCAGTTCTCCTTGTTCGTCGGGTCATGCAGGATGTGGATGTTTTCTCTCTTCCTGGTCCACAGTATTCTGAGAAAATGTCTAGCCTTTCAGTTCAAAAGCTCCAATTTTGGGAAGAACAAAAAGAAGAAAGAACAAACGAACAAACTTTATTTTCAAAGGGTTACAAATTAGGCACGCAGGCCTGTCTTACATTCGGCCCTTCCAAACTTCCATCTTTCACACAGCAGTTGTATTTCATCAATGAAGCATGTTATATTCATGTAATAATATGCATATTATATATATGAAGTCAAAAACAAAAGCATGGCTGGTAAAATATGTACGCACGCTCACACGCGAACACACACACCCACACACACACACAAGCCCAATGACTCACTTACACACAAACATATAGGCACTAAGTACACACATACATCCACATACATACGAACATGCACACATACATACATACATACATACATACATACATACATACATACATACATACATACATACATAAGAAGAAGAAGTAGATATGTACACTGTGCGCTAAAAGTGTGTAGACAAGCCTAGCACATCATCATCATGTAGCAGGTCCTTTTCAGAACATCGCTCTCATCAAAGTCACGGAAAGAAACTCAGTTTCTCACCAGCTCTCCAGTCATGTGCACTTTCCTACCAAAGGTGTTACTTCGATCCTGTGCCCATCTTCATGCTGGTCAGTCCCTGCCCTCTTTCCTTCTACCAGGCCTTCTGCTACTATTCTTCCCACTCCAAGGTGGTGGTGGATATGGTGAAAATATTTTAGTTTCTGAGACACAATGCTTTTTACTAGCCAATCTTCCTTGATGTTTACATCTGTTAGTATGTTTCTTTTCTTCTTGCTCAATGGTATTCTGAGAATGTCTCTATAGCATTTCAGCTCACAATCTCCTATCATCTCGCTTATTGAATTAAAACTTAGCAGGTTCGAGATAACATGGACTAAACCGGTGCAAGGATATCATCATGCTCTCCAAAACATCTCCGGTACTGAACTGGACCCTGGAGTCTTCCATCTAAGAGGCAGACGTTTATTTAGGCCAAGCTGACCATCCCTAAAGAAGACTTACCAAATGGTGGCCACTGTTATCCCTCGACGAACTCTGTCCACCACGGCTCCCTGCCCATGACCTTGAAAGTCTCAGAGGAGACAATTCTGATGCTCTACCCTTATTTAAGCAAAACAACAACAAAATTGAATGCAAAAACTGTACCAGACAGACAAACAAACAAAAACAAGCTTAATAAAGGCTTATGATAATCACAATTTGTCTTTCTGTAGGTTATGGGTGTATCTTACAGTCCAGCTTCCCTCTTCTGTGGTGGGTCTACTTCTATCCTTGGGCATACAGATAAAATATAGATCTAGCCTTATTTGTCCAATAGGCTTGAAAGCATGCAAAAGGGTTGTTTACTTTTACTTACTTTACCCTGGGAACGAGTTTGGGGCCATATATCATTTTCCTCTTCTATTCTGGGGAATACAGATATTTTAGTCTTTTTTTTTCTCAACATTATTAACCTTTTACCCCCCCCCCCCCTTTTCCCCCTTCCCCACATGTAAAAAGGTTCCATAAGGACAGGTTATATCCTTAAATTTAATTTGATTATATCTGCTGAAAATAATCCTTTCTGTAGGTACATACTAGTTAAAAATTGAAGGAAAACTATTTTGGGGGCTAAAATCAACATATTTTCACAGATATTGATTGAAAATGTTATACTTTATGCAGAAAATAGACAAATGTGTACTCTTGTACCAAGATATTTGAAAAACTAATAAAGACAGTTTAATGAAAATCTGCACATAAATTTAACATTATATTTCACACTATATGATTAATTACTATTCTCTCAAGGGTCAAAGGTCAGGGCCTTCCTCTTCTGCCCAGGGATAGAGATATACTAACTTGAGATATACTAACTTCTAACCAAAATGGCCAATAGCCGGCTAAACGCTGATGCTCTGAAAGGTTATTAGTTCCCAGCTAGGTTTTGCTGATACCAATTCCCCATTTCTGGACCAGGCGTCCAAAGTTCTGTCACCTAGCTATTAAGGTGAGCATTTGGTGCGATGCTGGGCACTATGGTTTTTACAGCGTGTTGATGACTGCACTAAAATGGTGGCTGGCTAATTACGTTAAGGATGGCAAATACTCTCTGTCTGCGTGTGTGTGAGTGTGTGTATAAGTGTTTGTGTGGGTGCAATGCTGGCTTTTGTGACTGACCACTTGTGCCAACAGTCAGCTGGTGAGTGACCGTTAGTGTTGGCACATCTCACAGCTGCCTTATGAATTTCTTTTTTAACTTTGTGAGTGCAAGCTTCAGACCTGCAGGAAATAACACATTTTTCAACAGTAGTGTGTGATTTCCACTGGCATAAGAACTGAGTACTCATGTGGAGACCCACCTACAGAAATGTTGCAACCTTGCCGAACAGACTAACACATAAATCTCACCCTTCGATGCGGCAAATGAAATGAGTTGAACCCTCCTCCGCCCCGAGGTTGACGAGAGAGATGTCGACTAGAACCGTAGTTACCAGCTGCTTCCCACTCCTCTTGCTGCAGCTGGCGAGCAATTTCCTCATCAGACAGCAAGTTGCCAGTGCCGTCGAAGGCTAATGGACTTGAGGGTTGTTCTGAAATACCTGAAGCTAGTTTATTAATTGGAAAAAAATGTTCTGTTTGTATCCGACAAGACAGAAAAATGCAGACAAAAAAACTATGGTCACTGAGGAAGCAAAAGTGCTGGTCTTGTATTTAGAGAATTCTCTAGAAGGGGTGCTGTCATTTACACAGACTGGTCTGTGTTTCACCACATAGAAGCTTGCGGGATTTTTCGGCTCAAGCTGGAGCTAGGATTGTGAAGCAAGATTGTGGTGCTTCCGCCTTGACTACGTACAGTCTGGCTACTGATGTCATGGCAGTGACCAAAGCAATACCACGGGTGAAGACACAATCTTTATCTCGAAAGTTCAGAAACAGAGATGAAATGCGCCTGAAGACAGCGATTGGAGACTGAGGCGGTCAGGGCTGACGTATGTCAGTTTTTTTTTTCTGTGCCGGGAAACACAGGTTGCTTAAGGAAAAGAGCACGCTGATAGGCTTGCAGGTACAGCAACCGTGGCAGGCAGACGTGCCATGTACAAGGCTGATATACTGAAATTAGGGAAATGAGACATTTGCAAAAACCAAGTGATGACTGAATCTGCAACCATGACCAGACTGCAAGAACAGCATGTTAAAAAGCCAATGTAAAATAAGAAACCAACACAGGACTGCTGTCAACAGCCACTATACTCTGTGAGATTCACTGAGGAGGGAATCCAAGCACTTATGGACTGAATGGTTGCATTTGCAATGAGGATAATCTTCGACTAACCAACAAAGAGCCTGGATTAATTAGAAATACTACAGTACATTCAAAGGCAGTAAATCAAATGTTTTACCATCTTAGAGAGAATGTTTTTTGATGTCAAACCATACAAGGCATACACCAAAAAAGGAGAGGGACGTAGCATAAGGTAGACCAAAAACAAGATGGAAAGATAACATCTGAATAACTCTTACAACAGCACAATGATTCAGTAGTTCAGGCAACCAGCAGAATCGTATATCTCCCTCAAAAGTCTAGCATTCCAGCGTAGTTGTCAGGTGACAATCTCCATGCGTGTCTGGTCTTGGGTTCAAGCCGGGGGATGGCAGAAAAGCTCCAGATTAACGGTGTCCGTGGCACCAAGGCTGAAGGGCATCGATGCTCAGGACACTGAACCAAATGAGCTATGCTCAAGTGCTGCTGGTTCCAAAACAAAACTGTGTCTTATCACCACTCCTGTTTATCACCCACACTGACAGTATAAGCAAGGTTGCCAGGCCCAGGAACAAAAATAATAGTAACATCAACTAAATTACTCTTTGCTGATGACCAGGCAGATACAGCCAGGAATTTACATCATCATCTTCCTCCATGAATGAAGAATGTAAACTGAATAATATGAAAATCAACACTGAAAAGACAAAAGAAATGTCAATAAGAATGCCATGGTGGAATTGATATGACCAAGTATTTCAGCTTTCCAGTCAAGATACTGTTTATTAGCCAAACCTTGATATTCAGATTTGTTAACATTGTCAGTATTTTTTCTCTTCTGTGTCCATATAATAATACTATAATATAAATATTATATAAATATAATAATATAAACTGTAATATATAAACAATGTATTTTTGACACTATTTTTGCAGTGTAAATTAAATCCAATTTTTGCAAGGGCTCTGTGCCAACTGCACTAGTCATAAGTAAAAAAAGTAAAGTACCCTTTTCCACGCCTTTAGGCGTATTGGGCATACAGGGCTAGACCTATATTTTATAGACCAACGGCACAAGATGGATGATGTGGTCAGCATCATGCTGGCCGCCTCTACTTCCCAGGACTGCACCCAGTACCCACTCAAGGCTGGGTCTACCTAGGGGCAAGTTTACGTCCAGTAGTTGCACTAGCTGTGCAGCCTTAAAATTTCACGGTCAAAGATCCATCTGTCTACACCACAAAAGTGGCAAATGCAATCAGTGATGGTACTATAAACAGCATATTGATTTCAACATTAAGCTACCAGTGCCACACACAGACACTACCTAAAGCCCATATAAGCACAATCACCACCTGCCAACTAACTACCCGTGGACAAGTGAATAATGATACTAACAGAAAAATTGTGGAAATGACACCTAGATTCATTGAGAAACAGCAGATCATGTGGTCTGGCCATCTCGTTAGAATGCAGCAAGACCAAATACCATCACAGGCACTACATCTCAGAAAAACAATGATCAACAACATTAAAGACACTATGTTTTCATGACAGGACAATAGCCAGTGGCCGCCAGCTTGCACTGGATCACAAATTATTCCTCCCTATGAGGCTTAACGGCAGAAGTGGTTTATGATGATGATGGTGAATAGAGTGGGTTTCTTTTTTTTTTTTAAGTGGCACTATATTTGTAGTGCAAAATAATAAAATGTTTAAAGTGACATCATGTTTGCAGTTAAAATATATAATACTGTATTCAGGTCATTTTTCTTGGGGGAAAAAAAAGGGTGCTGGTAGTCACCACAAGGTGTCTAGTAAAAGGAGCAGGTGTGCAACACAAAGTGTCAATTACAGTGGTGCTGGCAAAAAAAAGGGGATGCCATTAAGAAAATGCCGGCACTGCACAATGTCAAAAACAAAAGCCCTTTCAACTAACACCATTTTCGCACAGTAAAATAAAAAACAATTTCCTAGAACAGAAAGAATGAACAAAACAAATAAAACTACCATGCCGACTATGACAACAGCAACAACAGTGATGGGTATGACAGTGGTAGTAATCCATAGCCAACAGTGACATTCACAAGAAGGCTTCTCAAAATGTTAGCAATCCACAGCTCAGGAGTTCTCTCTATGAGTGCACTCAATGAAGACTGAGACCCAATCACCGTGACCCAACACTGGTGACCTCAGCTCAGGCTGCCTAGTGTGTAAACATGTTGATTCCTTCTATGTTGTGAGCACTTACTGAATATGTTGATGATTAGTACTGTTGTTCAGAAGAGGAATGAGAATAAAGGAAGAAATGATTGCAGAAAGGATGAGAGCTGGGCATCTGAGAAGAAACAAACTAAACACAAATGTTGACAACAATGGTCCTGAAATTCCATGCTATAATTGTGGAAGACTTTTCTTAACGTGGGCAGGTCTTGCTAGCCACACTCACCATGGCCATGGTCTGTGAGTCCCATGCCTCCTCACAGCACAATATAACAATGTCATCTGGAAACACAGAAAGGTGCTAATCGAGTGCTGTTGTTAGTATTCCCTGTGTGGATTCCAGGGCCCCATTGTGGGGGAAACAAGAACAAACTCACTGCCCCCAAGAAGCATGTCATAGGAGTCGAATAACTGGGGGCTTCCTTTGAAGGAAATGGAGCCTCAAAACCAATACAGGAACAAAATCTGAAACTGAACTTACAATTTTCAGGAAAAATTGGGGGGGGGGGGGGGGGGGTGGAGGGCAGGCAAACGGCTTAACCACATTAACAGTAAAATCAATGAATAACAAAGATTGTAAGTAAAAAAGAAAAAAAGTAATATAAGAACACAAGATCTGACATACCTGGCGACAGTTCATATGGGTCATCTTCAGTGCCATATCCTCGAAAATAAGGATTTGGAAAAGGTCCTAACTGGCGAGTAGGTCCGAAAAGACCATCCACAAATCTGGCTGATGGATATTCTACAGAAGGTGACGTTGACGGGGGCGACTCACTCAGCGCAGAAGAGAAGCGTAGCGGAGGTATATGCTGAGTTGTGCCGTGATACTGTCGATTTTGTCGTGATGGCGACGTATTTCTGACAAATGTCTCTGCTCTAAACTGGCCAGGATTTTGGTTATGAATTCTTCTACGGGCACGTCGTCTTTCCCCCCGATGTGAATTTGGAGAAGCAGTTCTATTACGTAAGCTATTGCTAACACTGACATTATTCTGAACATCACCAGGGTTCAAACTGGCATCATCATTACAAGGTAACTGTGCGTCTAAATCATCTATTAACTGCCGAATACCATTGAGACCACTTCTGTTTAAAAAATCTGGAGTATCAGAGTCTGCTGAATTTTCAGGAGCAGCGTTTGTCCCACTTGCAACCATGTTCTGCCAAATAGCCTCAAAGTTGTTAGGTGTATCTTCAGCTTCTTCTTGCTGCGGAGAAGTATCTCTGTTATTTAACTCTGCAGAATTCTCTGCGGCAGTGTTTGTCCCGCTTGCAACCATATTCTGCCAAATAGTCTCGAAGCTGTTAGGTGTGGCTTCTGCATCTTCTTGTCGGGGCGTATTGTCTCCATTGTTTACACGTGAACTCCGGTTACCAAGAGTACGTCTACTCAGTCTCTGATGCTGCCTAGCAGAGTTCCCAGTTTTTCTACCATCAACTTTTTTACCCTCTTCCATTTTACTCTGTACTCATAAGTCATAAAGTCTCATTACTACAAATCTAATCAAAAGATATATACATAAACACTTTAATTTCTAGATTATTTCACAAAAGCCAAAATGAAAGAAAGTTGTGACTTTCAAAAAGTCATTTACCGTCTAGCATGTTAAAACAAATGTCCAGATTTTCTTAGAATGCTAATCCTAATTGCTAAATATTTAGCAATGCATCATGTGCTTCTTGATGCATCTAATCAATAACTAACCCCACCAGGCATTGCTGAGAGAAGTAGATATTGCCTAGAATGTTTAATACAACTAGCCAGATTTTATGCCACTGCCATATAGGCAATATAATGCCAGACTCATATTTTTAGACCAATCGGCACTGGATGGGTGATGTGGTCAAAATCATGATGGCCACCTTCGCTTCCCAGGACATTACCTGGGTACCATTTTAGGCTGCAAACTACTATCCATGTCACACAAGACCACTAAGGAAGGTTGGCTCTGATAGGCTACCTTGTCACACACAAAAAAAGCTTTAGGTACAAAAGAGAACCAATCACAAACCAGTTTACAAAGGGTTGGTTAATGATTTCTTCTTCTTCTTAACGTTTACCAGCTGTAAACTTCAGCGGAAAGTTCTGATTATTCATCCACTTTTGGACTTCAGACTTGTTCTATAACTTGAGTTTTGCTTGCACACTTGTTTTACAGATCTGCCTTATTTGTAGGCATACTTTTGGTTCCTCGCCTCTCAGGAAGATGCATTCAAAGAAAACGCCTCTTAGACCTACTTTTTTAGCTGCACAGTGGGCTTATATAGGTACAATAGAAAACTTTGAATATTATTTGAGCACAGATTACATGCCCCCATAGAGGACAAAGAGAAACATATTTTAGAAATAGCGCCTTTTTCCATAGATTTATAACAACCACTACGGTTTGCTGTAGTCAGAAATGTAGACATTTCAGTGCTTGTACTTAATGTTTTGATGCTTTTTATGTTTTATTACTTGATGTGTGAATGAAATGATGTAAGAATGGAGGGAGACCTCGAAGGGCAGAATGTAAGACGGGCCTGCGTGCCCAATTCTTAACCCTTTAAAAATAAAGTTTGTTCGTTCGTTCGTTCCTTTAATGGGGCCCTGGAAGCCATGCAGAAAGGTTGAAGAAGATCAATTGAGAAATGATAGGCAAAAGATGAGAACTAGAAAGACAAAAGTTAAAGTTAGTTGCATATCCTTAGTACGATGTTGCAGAACCAACCTCCACATTTTATTTTGTGTTTGTTTTCTCTGTCTTGTTTTATAAAGCAACTGCTGGTGTTTACTGACAGCTCTCAATAACACTGTCGAAATCACCGCAAGGCAGTCAGCTGTCAAAGTACGTCTAGCCAGTATGGAACTGGGTACCTCAGAATTACAAAACGCGCTTGCAATGCCTATTGTACAGGCGCTGACAGGAGAAACAAAAAGAGAAAAACTGGGGAAAAGGAAAAAAATGATTAAGAAAAAATGAGCAGGAGAAGGAGGGAAGAAAAAGAAGAAGAACAATAGGACAAGAAGAAGAAAAAGCAGGAAGGAAGTGGATCAGAAGAAGAATTCTCTACCAGAATTCCAAAGTAGTGAAGTGGTTAGCACTTTTGCTTTTCAGCATGGTGGTTACAGGCTCAATTCTTAACAGGAAGACTCAGCCAAAAGATACTAAGGCAGCCAAACGTCCCTGCTCACATTTTGAGAAAAGACAAACTGGAATTTATTTCTTCTCATCTTATGCCTTTTATCCCTTATTTCAGCAGTGTTGAATCATTCTATTTAATGCCATGTGTCCAAGTTGGACAGAGGTATCAGAAATTAAGTCATGCTCTGGTGTTTTAACCATGTCATGATGACAAATGTTATCAAGAATTTTCTAGTGGTGTCCATTTCTTATTTGGTTGGAGATCATGCAAAATAGAGAACACAGTCATACAGGCCAATTAACTCTTTCAGTCCCACCCATTGTTTACTTGAAATGTTTATCTTAAGGTAATGTTTAGGTATGAAGAAGTTCAACAGAGACACTTCTTCATTTCCTCTTTTTCTACTTCGGGTGTCAATGGAGATAAAAGGTTCTGCTTCTTACTTTCCTGGCCACCTCGACCTCAGACACATTAGGCTGTTGCAGAGTTTCTCTGATGTTTTCTGTCCATATTGTTCTTGGTCTACCTCATGTTCTTCATCCACCTCCTCTTTTAGAGTATGCCTGGTATGGTATGGCAACACAAGGCACGCTCTCTAAGTGGGCAAACCATTTGATTTGCTGTGTTTGTATGTAATTTAGAATTGGTTCTGAGTGGACATTTTTTTTCTTGTCATCTCATTTCTGATTGCTAGCTTCTGGTCACTTCTGCAGGACTTCTCAAGTATTTAATTGCCATGGCTACTAATTTTCTTTTGGATTTATTTTGACACTGGTAGCATAGGGTTGGAATTGTTATGTTATCACAATCGACGTCTTTGCACACTGGGCCTCCCCCACGTCTGCTCAGTCCTCCGATGTAGCAGCTACTCCAAGCTACCTCTACTGTTTGTTCCCATGAAGAGTTGGTTACAGTATCTCCTGTTTTTACCTGCAAGGGTTGGAATGAATATGCTTTGTTTGAGATGTTTCTTTATGCTGATTGGGACTGTCTTGTGTTGTAAAGGGGGAAACTAGCTCTCCTAATGTTTGGTTTACTTTGTGCAGTAGATGTTAATATCTTCATCTAATTTACCATCTTCAGTGAAGAACTGAGACACTACAGTATAGAAAAAATTATTATAATAATTCCGGTACAAAGTGTAAACTTAACATTTGTCTGTGATAGAAGGAACCTTAAAAGAAAAAAATGTTTAAATAGCTCTGGAATGACCAAGAAGTCAATTGTGCTTTCTCTGGTATTGAGATTGTTAACAAGACAACCTGTGATTCTTACCGATGCTGTGCTATCAATGTCAAACATGGATACCGTCTTCAGAAGACGAAAGGAAAATAGTCACGACAGAAATGAAATGTTTACGTACTATGCTAGGTGAAACAAGGAAACAATGACTTAAAAATGGTATCAGGAGGAGAGTCGGCACAGAACCAATACTGAACTTTATAGGCAGACAACAAATCAAATGGTTTAGCCATGTAACAAGATTGGCAGCAGACAGAGCACCACAGAGAGCATGCAATGTTATATGGATACTGTGGTAACAGAGCCAGAGGTCGACCATGCAGAATATTGACACTGAAAAGTACTTTACACGAAGCGAACAGAAGTCTCCATTCTAGAGACATCTTCCTGCCCGATGCCGCAGGGCATTCCTGGACTAAAGGAAAGAAGAAGAAAACCTGTGATCACTGGCTGAAAGTTACAGAAAAAAAAAAGCAGAAAGATGCAGGGGACACGATAACACACTATGCAACATAAACACTGAAAGATAAAGAGAATTGCCAGCAAAAGTTCGTAACCTTTATAAGTCTAGATTTGAAAGAAAATCATGGTTATGTGGCCAACGTCTTTCACATGCAGCTGATTCAGTGAGACCGACAAACACCCCATTTTTTTTGGGGGAGGTCATGAGTTCAAGTCAAGTTATGCCTCTAGCCTGAAATGTATCCCTCGATGTTTTCCAGGAAGAGCCACTCAAAGGTAAAATGAGGACAAAAGTCAGAAAGTAAACTAAGCTCTAAATATATATGACTATTTTTCCTTGGATGGTTTCAGGGACAACCATTCGAGAGTAAAATGAAATCTCAGTATTTCTGAGCATCTTCCTTGGATATTTTGGGGGACAATCATTCGAGAGTAAAATTAGATCTTAAAACAATGAGACATAACATCTGATTCTCAAGGGTTCCCCAGCTAAAAACATAGGAAATGAATCATTAATGAATGAAATGAATGGTGTCTCTACTCTACTGTGGCTTTCAGTTTCAGTTAGTTTTTTGTTTGTTCTGTTAGTGATTAGTGTTAATGTTACCTATGCTAATCAAATCATCTAATGTGTCCTGTTTTTGTTTTCTAATTATTAACATGTACTTTCTGTAAGTGTCAATTAATATTCTTAAGATTAAGAGCTTTGTTTTACCCTAGTAAACGAAATAAAAATGACTGAACTGAATTTATAAATTCAAAATGACATTCATATCGTTCTTCCCTACCTACTAACCCTCAATGTGAAAAGAATAGGAACTACAATAGTTAGTAATTTCTCATTCCTCTGTTGTCTAATAATATCATCTAGTAAATAATTTTGTCCACTTTTATAAGTGTCAAACTGTATCATATTTAATTATGATCATCAATATCTATCGTATCGTAGCTGTCATGATTGTGATTGTATATAAATTATTGAGAACGGGAGACTAAGAGAATGAGAATGACCCTCCCTTCTGTTTTGAAGGTGCACAAACTAAAATTTGTGAACACCGCTGACATGTCACTATGAAATTCAACGAACCAGTAAACAAATTTATTGCACAACTACAAACACGAGGGATGGGGATTCTAAGTAAGGAAATAGGTGATGAAAAAATAATTTACGGAAATCCTAGAACTAGAACAGCCTCGTCACTTCTGACAATGTAGAAGGGAAGTCAGTCTGGTTTTGTTTTGTTCGGCCATCTTGGGGAATGTTAATAAGTGTGCCCTATTTAACGGATAAAACAAATGTTTTCTGAAGTTTATAAGTGGATTTACAGAAGAAAAGACATAAAACACAAACAGAACCTTGTTTCAGAAACTAACTTATGTTGGCCGTATCAAACGTCACGGTTGATTGGAGATCGATCAACCAGTTTGTCCCCTTCAAGATACTACCTAA